CATGAACATCGATCCACGCAATTGGGATCGATGGCATGCATCAACCAAGTCAGCGAGTCTGACCACCCGATCCAGTTAGTTGCCTTTTACGACAAGCATTGTCACCTTTTACAGCAAGCATGGGTTGCCGAAGACCTATTCTAACCCGGATCTTCACGGGTCGGGCATCCATATGAATGTATGAAACATGAAGGAGAACATCACTGCCGTGTGATTATTTTGTGATCTTTTTAGGCAGCCCTACATTAAACCATGAATTCTCCTTTCAATCTGTGTCATGAGATTATTGCAGGTATCGTCCAACCAGGAGAAATGTCTCTCTGAAACTGGTAGCTTCTGAAACTAATGAATACATAGAGATTATTATACGAGAATTTAGGTCACTCGTTTCGTAAAAGAGTATCAGACTTCATGTATTTCCTGAGGGAGAACGAGGGTTAAACATTAATTCTTACATGAGTTGAATAGAATCAGCATGACACACACTAAGTGTAAAAAATTCTTCATTGTGAAGGATCATGTCTCGGAAAAACAAAATCTTCAGCTATGACGTCTTCCCTTGTTGACGTCATTCCGACCTCATGTCACAATAAGATTCGACAATGCTGTCAGGATGACGTAAACAATACACTGGTGCATGTGAAGCGATATTGCACTAGGGGGTTGTATGGGTAATAAAAACAATTAAAACTGACAATGAAACAATAATAGATTCTGTGAGAGACTGACACAAGAAATACTGATGATAACATTCCCTGCATATATCTGTGTTTGAAGGACATGGTTCCTAAATAACCTTCTGATTAAAGGTCTTGGTTCATTTCCCCTCACGATGCAACCCATATTCACTCGCCCTGCTTCTGACTAGACCTGGTCGCAAACAAGGGTCGTAAGACTGGATGAGTCCTAACTGGTTTACCATCTTGGAGTATAACCAGGAATAGTCTTTGCTGTGCCCTGTTAACAACCAGTTATCTAGTTCAGTGGTTCACACACACATCTGGAGGAAGTTATGGGGTCTGTGCTCTCAGTCTACAAGTAACACGGCAATGTTTATTATCTCCAAGTACCTTCGTCACTAGACCATAGTCAGATCATCAGGTCCTTTTACCTGGAACTATTTATTGCGCCAAAAGAAACACGAACAGTAAAAACGTATATAGAAGTTAAGAGATGTTTCCAATGTGTACCAATTAATGACGAAACTAACAATCAGTCAAGTGTTTACCACTATGTCTGTATTCTGATCACGATATGCTGCACATGATTTCCAAATTTTAAACGCTAATCTTGAGACAAATGGTGCATCTGGAGTCATTGGTCAATGACATCACTTGTGATGAGTTCATGATCGTCGAAGATCATAGAATAGGTCTTCAGCAACCCATGCTTGCCGTAAAAGGCAACTATGCTTGTCATAACAGGCGACTAACGGGATCGGGTGGTCAGGCTCGCTGACTTGGTTGATGCATGTCATCAATCCCAATTGTGCATGATGTGACCCAGTCAGTCAAGTCATCAGGGCATGATGTGACCCAGTCAGTCAAGTCATCAGGGCAGGATGTGACCCAGACAGTCAAGTCATCAGGGCAGGATGTGACCCAGTCAGTCAAGTCATCGGGGCAGGATGTGACCCAGTGAGTCAAATCATCAGGGCAGGATGTGACCCAGTCAGTCAAGTCATCAGGGCAGGATGTGACCCAGTGAGTCAAGTCATCAGGGCAGGATGTGACCCCATGAGTCAAGTCATCAGGGCAGGATGTTACCCCTCGAGTCAAGTCATCAGGGCAGGATGTGACCAAGTCAGTCAAGTCATCAGGGCAGGATGTGACCCAGTCAGTCAAGTCATCAGGGCAGGATGTGATCCAGTCAGTCAAATCATCAGGGCAGGATGTGACCCAGTCAGTCAAGTCATCAGGGCAGGATGTGACCCAGTCAGTCAAGTCATCAGGGCAGGATGTGACCCAGTCAGTCAAGTCATCAGGGCAGGATGTGACCCAGACAGTCAAGTCATCAGGGCAGGATGTGACCCAGTCAGTCAAGTCATCGGGGCAGGATGTGACCCAGTCAGTCAAATCATCAGGGCAGGATGTGACCCAGTCAGTCAAGTCATCAGGGCAGGATGTGACCCAGTGAGTCAAGTCATCAGGGCAGGATGTGACCCCATGAGTCAAGTCATCAGGGCAGGATGTGACCCCTCGAGTCAAGTCATCAGGGCAGGATGTGACCCAGTCAGTCAAGTCATCAGGGCAGAATGTGACCAAGTCAGTCAAGTCATCAGGGCAGGATGTGACCCAGTCAGTCAAGTCATCAGGGCAGGATGTGATCCAGTCAGTCAAATCATCAGGGCAGGATGTGACCCAGTCAGTCAAGTCATCAGGGCAGGATGTGACCCAGTCAGTCAAGTCATCAGGGCAGGATGTGACCCAGTCAGTCAAGTCATCAGGGCGGAACCTTTCCTCTTAAGTCTGCTCTTGAGAATGTCTTCTTGACTCAAAATCAACAAAGTCATATATTTATGTTAAAGCGGTGGCTCGTCACACTGGACCTGGGTTCAATTCCCGACATGGGTACAATATGTGAAGCCTATTTCTGGTGTCCCCCGCCGTGATATTACTGGAATATTGCTAAAAGCGGCGTTAAACCATACTCTTTAGCTGGCATTTACAAACAGCATGGAATACTGGGATCTATTCTTGACAGCACAAGCCATGTTTTGTGTCAAGGTACAATCAGACACAAATACCGTGCACAGAGTTTCTCTTGCTAAGAAGAGTAATTTGATTGGACAGCTATGTTTAACACTGTGTCCTTCAAATGGAAATCAAAACTGTGGTGGTGAATGGGTTCTCTAAAATATCAATATGATACACATAGGATGGTATGCCATCTTTGAGTACACTGTGAAGATCCTGCAACCCATGCTCAAGGCGACTAACAGGATCGGGTGGTCAGACTCGCTGATTTAGTTGATACATGTCATCGTATCCCAATTATGTAGAACGTTGCACATGATGTCAATCCCGCGATTATCTGGTCTTGGCACGATAATCTACAGACTGCTGTCATACAGCTGGAATATTGCATGAAAACAACCTATAAAGCACAATGACCAAATAAATGCACCCTTCAGATTCAGGCACTGACTGTTAGTTACATTAAATAAGGTATGCCAAATAAACTATACACTGATAAAGACAGCTTAAGTGATATGTAATCTGTTCCACACACAAGATGTAATTAATATTTGTGAATATTCTCCCACTCCTCCTGATTCCAGAGTCCACAACATGCTGTTGAAATGAGATATCGTTTTACAGTTTTAGAGAACACGGTCATATTATAATTCACATTCGGTCATATTATAATTCACATTCGCAAACACAGCAGCATCTGATACCCTTGACTTTTATCTCCAGTATTATCAGATAGACTGGTAATATCTGAATCTCCCTTGATGTTGGAAGCAGGTGCTTATCCGACATTGGCCAGCCACGGCCTGTGTCACAGTTAATGATTGTACAGGTGATCGCGCACCCATCTCTGAACCATGCCAGGAAACGTGTGTTTATGTAATGATTGCCACAACATGTTTTCAGTTTGGTTAGTGGGCTCATCTTAGCCACCTTAAGAGCGTCTGAGAGTTTTATGTGTAAGGAAAAAGTATGGTCCATTAAAAGAAGTGGTCTTCTCCTCCATAGGCCTTTCTTTCATACCAGACAGTAGACGTGCTTCATTTACTCCAGCACATGATGTATGAGTCATTGCACTTAAGCACAAGGGGAAAAAAATACAGGGATGTTCTTGTAACTGTTTCTAAATTAGATAAAACCAAAGTGATTGTCATGGTGTTACTTATAACTATGGTGACCCCCTCCGAAGTCAAAGTGGTAGAGCATCTGCATGGTGGCTGGAAGATCCGGGGTATGATCTCCAGGTTGCGCGTCATGTCAGAAGACGTTTAAGTGTTGTACTTGTTATTACCCTGCCTGGTGCTTGGCATTAGGGGGATAAATCAAGGACTGTTGGCTCGGAGTCAGTATACTGTGTCTGAGTGGGGTATTCATCATAATCTGTGGCATGGTATCTCAGTGGTATCTCACACACACTCACATTGCTTTATAAGTGCAGTAATCTCAGACATGACATTAAGCCCCATTTCATCTTACCTACACATTGCTATATACAGTCTCACTGACAAGCTTGAAGTTGGGAATGTCAAGCTTGAAGTTGGGAATGTCAAGCTTGAAGTTGGGAATGACATTCTTGAAATTATTTTTACTGGTTTTCCGGGTTTTAGCTCACTTGAACATTTTAGTTCATACTGTGCCTATATATTGTCTGAGTGTCAATCAGGTGGTCACAAGGGCATATAAGTGTGGGTCAGATAGTTTAAAAAGTGTCTGAAAGTGGATAAGATTTTCAGGTTTGTACATGCTATTGATTCCCCATTGTTCATTCTATTGTTTCCCCGTTGTTCATACTTTTGTTGCCACGCATTGTTCATACTAATGTTTCCCTATTGTTTGTACTATTGTTTCCCCATTGTTCATGCTATTGTTGCCACCCATTGTTCATACTAATGTTTCCCCATTGTTTGCTCTACTGTTTCCCCATTGTTCATACTTTTGTTGCCACCCTTTTTTCATGCTATTGTTGCCACCCATTGTTCATACTAATGTTACCCCATTGTTTGTTCTACTGTTTCCCCATTGTTCATGCTATTGTTGCCACCCATTGTTCATACATAATGTTTCCCCATTGTTTGTACTACTGTTTCCCCATTGTTCATACTATTGTTGCCACCCTTTTTTCATGCTATTGTTGCCACCCATTGTTCATACTAATGTTTCCCCATTGTTTGTACTACTGTTTCCCCATTGTTCATACTATTGTTTTCCCATTGTGATACTATTGTTTCTACCAGTGTTCATACTATAGTTTCCCTATTGTCCTACTATTGTTGCCACCATTGTTCAATGTGCTGTGCTTCATTGCAGGCCTTGGGGAACCTGTACTTTGTCCATGACACAGTTGATGAAGTCAACATCTTCGACTTTGTAGGTGAGTAGAACCTTGTATTTTCTGAAAGCTAATACTGTGATACACAATCCCCTGGTAGGTCACTAGGTCGTCTCAAACAGGTGCAGGTCTCTCTCCAGGGGACTAGAACAACCATGAAGAGGAGGGGCACGTATAACTCTTGGCTTTCCTCGGCAGGTGAACATACAAGTGTCCAGTTAAGTGTGTCACAGGGGTAGGTGGAGATTAGACAATGCACTACAGTTTGTGCTGTGAGACAGGTGTACACTTCCTACTATGAGACTCTTAACTGTATGCTCCCTACATGCACATGCAATGGTTGACTTATCTTGGTTATGCACACATGGTTACACTCAGATATTTTGTGTCCGACTTAGTCTTCCAGGTACAAGTTTATAATGAGAATCATGTCTCTCAGCCATGCTAGATATGATCAATCCCAGACCCTGATTAGGATCCTTCGTCATCTGCACGTACCCATGCACTTGGGTTTCACCAAAATGCTGACAATGTATTTCCTACCAGGGATTTATCTTCACTTGCTGTCAGTCTTATATAAGGCGAGGTGAGACACAGTCTACTGACTCCAAGCGGACCAGTCCTTGTTTTAGCCCCTTCATGCCGAGCGCCAGACAGGGTAACAACAAGTACCATCTTTTAAAGTCTTTTGGTATGACGCAGGATCGAACCCCGGACCTTCCACTCTCTGGGCGGACGCTGTACCACTAGACCACGGAGGCGGTCCTCTTATATAAGGCCCATGTCCAGCTCCATGTCTGCAGCAATGGACAGCAAAAATGAATAATTAAACAATTCATGTTAATGTATTAGTAATGGGATGACATGGTCAAGGTGACTCATTTTCACTTATAGCAGGACCAATGAATAGGAAGAGGCTTAGTTTTGCATGTTTGCATTGATTTTAGTGTTAAAATACATCTGAGATTACAAAACTAAGTACGATAAAAATAATCTAAAAAATTTTGAACTTTATAGCAATTTTTACCACTTTGCCTGCCAAGGGCACTCAGCTAATGGAATCCTCAATAAGACACATTGGGATTCCTCCCATTGCTAGTTTATACGCTGATATAACTCCAATACTTTCAGAGCTGCATTAGCCCCTCCCCGTGAGTGTCCATTGTTTGTTGCTAGAGCAGCAATATTGCTGACTGGCGTTATACAAGACTCCCACACATGGAGATTCAGTTAAGCCTGTGTGATAAGTATTATGTGCTGAAGTATATGTCTACTGAAACTTATGGGTAATTTAATCAAACTATTAGCATGGCAGACATTAATTTTACCACCAGCGGATATTTGTCATGGAGTTTTATGGAGTTGCATTACACAATTCTGATGGTGTAGGTGACAATAGCATTGATTCACAAGGCAGGGTATGTGATGTATTGAGTTACCCTGTCTATGTTCGGAGAAGAAATAGCTGTGTGGGACGAATTATGGATGAGGAGGGATTGTAATGAGATTACTTTTGGTCCAATCGTATGTCACGATGTTTATTGTGTTACATCATCCTCTAAATCTTCATCCTGCGGCCTTCATCATTATGTGAGGGTTGATAGGGGGAGGATGGTGGGCAGTGTTAAGTTTTATGGGTAAGTGTTCAAGATTAGTTGAAGCCAGGAATGATATTGTCGAGGACCCTGTTTCCAACGACACCTGTTTTTGAACAGCCATGTTGATAGTGATTTGTCGTGTTATCGCGAGAAGTATGACTTATAACGAGAAGTATGACGTCATCAAAGGAGCTGGTTTCACAGTGCACAGATCAGGCCTGTCAACCATGAACCAGGGTTCATGTGAGGTACTGCACACCTGTCAGAACACTCCGTCCTCAGTCAGGATTGTGTTGCCCTGTCGTGATGAAAAGAGAGAATAAATAGTGGGAACACTAGAATTTGACAAACATTCATATTTTGAATAGGTTTCAAACTTTCTATTACTGTATTCAACGTAATAAGCGCCCCACTCTAATAAGCGCCCACGACGATATTTGCTAATATATTGGCTAGTGAACAATCCCAATCAGCACCTCTTCCGATTGATCGATGTACACAAGACTCATTTATTCGTGCAAAAATACGCACTCGTGTGTTATATCACCCTTAAGTAGGGGTGGGTACAATGTGTGAAGCCAATTTCTGGTGTCCCCCGCCGTGATATTGCTGGAATATTGCTAAAAGCGGCGTAAAACCATACTCACTCACTCACTTAAGTATGGGCAATTAAATTCTTGAAAAAATATATCTGTCGTATGTAAACATTTCAGGCTGTTAGCATAAACCACGAAATTTACAATCTTTCAACTCAAAATAATATTCAAATAAGCACCCCCTATTTCTAATTTTGAAAGCACCCTGGGCGCTTATTACGTCGAATACGGTACTTCTTTTATTAATGTTGACCTACTAGAATTATGTTGATAAATGTGTGTCAAAACAAAGCTAACCCGTGAAGATCCGGGGTAGAATAGGTCTACAGCAACTTATGCTTGTCGTAAGAGGCGACTATGCTTGTCGTATGAGGCGACTTATTGGATTGAGTGGTCAGACTCGTTGACTAGTATACCAATTCCATAGATCGATGCTCATCATGTCAGTTACTGGATTGTCTGGTACACGCTCAATTATTTACAGATATTGCTGGAATATTGCTGAGAGCGGCGTTAACAAACAAACAAAACACAGCTGTTCGTTCATGGAAACCCTCGCTAAAGTAACCATACCAGATCCCGCGTGTTAGCGAGGAATGTTGTTTCTATTGGAGTACATTGACTTCCTTTAGAAACTGACACTTGTCCTAGAGTCCCAAACAGAATATGAATGTGAAAGTATGTTGTATAAAGCGATCTTAGTGCTAAGGTGATCGTAACTCCCCATACCTTAACATAGACTTACGACAGTCGTAGCGCTAAGGTTGTTTTGTACAACGGTACCCTAGTGGGGGGTGAAGTAATATGACTAAAACTGTGTATCATACTGACAAGTCACCAACTGAACATATATGCAATGCTGTTCAAATTTGTTTTTCTTTTTATCATGAGTTGTAGTAATTTACACATGGTAATGTGGAAGTTTCTTTTTCTTAAATTATTTGGGTAAAGAAAAAACAAATCAGTCATATCTCAAACTTTACTTTTAATTTGTTGTTATGGTTATCACACTCAAAGGAAACTTCAGTTCCAAGGTTTAATTCAACTCTAAAATCCATCTATAATGATACACTGAAAACTATCGATATTTATCGCAATAGTTGCTTGCAATATCAATAGTTATCGCAATAGTTTCTTTGAATATCAATAGTTATCACAATAGTGATTTCCAGACCAATAGTCACCCCTACTGACAAGTCCCAAACTGTTACATGTTGGCTCCTCCCACTGTCCTGCCATCTTCCACCGATTATGTACAGACTGTCACACAATGCTCACAAGGCATGTAAATAACCTCATGCTTTCATTCATTTTGGTTCTATGTCTTTGCACAGAGAGGCCACACTTTGATGTTTCACAGACTTATTCCAGCTTTTCCACACAAGGTCGATCGCAATAAAAATATAAAGCTATGTCGGTCATTTATTGATATGAAAGTTATTCTGCCATGAAGTTAAAACTGCAGCTGACTTCTTGAAACACTGATTGAGATGTAGACATGGAATCGATATATAACATTTTATTTTCTATAAGAGGGTCTATGTTACTAACGGGAGAAGTAAGAATGAGTATTTTTATGTTAATTTATTGGCGGGACGTGAAACGAAAAAAAATAAAAAATGTGTGGTTAAAAGTATTGTAGAAAGAAGTCAGTATGAGTAACTTTGACTCTTCCAACTGACAAATCTTCCTTTTCAAAGGCATAGGTAATATGGCATAATGGTTATCAGCAACACTGGCGCCAGTCTTGCACATATTTGGATCATGTATTTCCACAGAAATTCATTTTTTTTCAAGACTGGTGTCAACCCTAATCTAGTAGTCCTCAGGAGTATGATTCTTGTGCTGCTCGAACGAGACAAATGTGTTTACTATGTTTACATGTACAACACCAACACCTTTAAGCCAATAGAAATGCTTTATTTCTTGTGATTATATGCTGTAAATGTAGCTGTCTATGATCTATTAAAGTAGGTGGAGCTTGGTGATAAGAGACAAAACAAACTTGCCACTTGCCACTTGCCACTCAGCAATATTCCAGCTATATGACGGCGGTCTGTAAATAATCGAGTCTGGACCGGACAATCCAGTGATTAATATCATGAGCATCGATCCACGCAATTGGGATCGATGACATGTATCAACCAAGTCAGCGAGCCTGAACACCCGATCCCGTTAGTCGCCTTTTACGACAAGCATAGTCACCTTTTACGGCAAGCATAGTTTGCTGAAGACCAATTCTACCCCGGAATCTTGTGATCACATGTTGTGGTATAACTTTTACATATTCTGTCAGTTTCATTCAGTTTGAATTTGTATCCATATTGGGGCATTGAGAACTCAAAATTATATCCCTTGTAACCAGTCAGTGAGGTCTACAATCATCGGATATTTACTTGTCTTCAGCAATTTTTTAGTAGTCTCAGGCGAGTGTGAATTTCGAAGGCTGGAGAATAATACTGTAGAAAGATGTCAGTCCTCAAATAACCTTGACGCTTCTCAAATGACAAATTATCCAATTCACAAGCATACAAAATGTGGTATTATAGCTATTAACAACTCTGTTTCCAGTCTCACACACGTATGTGTGATATAATATCATTATACCCTGGCTGTTACACCACACAGACTGTCCATTGACCAGTAACTGCATAGCGGCAGCCAACTGTCTCCAATGTAATACGATATTGATTCGGCCACTTGCTGACTTGTGCCAATATCTGACAGGAGGCGTTACATTGATTGTCAGAAACACTTGAAATATTGATATCTGAAAGGAAATTAGATGATAAAGTGTATCCTGCCGAGACTTAGCACAGATGGAAATATTACAATTTGGCTGGGCTTT